TTCGTTTTATGACTTACAAATCGTTAATGGAAATCGTTAGCAAAATAGAATTACTTGAAACATTTTTTTCTACATTGAGAAATAATTGCTACTTCAAATGTGATAGTAAGTAAGTACTAAAATTTATAGAAATTCTCACAAACTGTACAGAAACTATAAGTTTCGCCAAGATTCCACCTCTGTTCATGGTCAGCAACAATTATTTCAAACGAAGGAATCAAGAGTTTCCCAGACCGGATACCATTTTGAGCTTTCCCTACTATCGATACCGAACGTTATAACCATACTCAAACTTTTCTGAACTTCCGAATTCTGAAACTCGTGGAACTCTCGAACTTGCGAGACTTTATAACGAACTTCGGCAAAACTTGAAGTACGCTTGCAACTAGCGTAAAGATCACCCAAATGCTCAAAGACAGGAATCAAGGGAAATGGTTCGTTACACAGCCTTTGAGTTTAAGGAATATGACCAAGTTTAGATCGATACGGTTGAATTCGCCGTGTATATAACTATGAGACATCTAGTAAGCAGAATGCGGCTTTTTTACACAAATTTATGTCTTTCGTGAACGCAGCTAAAAGAGATGGGAAATTGAAATTGGAGAATTGTAAATAGAATACTTTCACTTGTAAATGGAACTCAAGAATTGTAAATAAGATATTCTATTTTTGATACTATATATATATTGCTGCATATTAAATATATTCTGCGTATTGTTGAATTTTGCATAAGTGTGTAAAAATCCATGGTCCACTTATAAATATTCTACGTATGGTAATTATGCTCTGTTACTTCATTTATGAGCTTTAAATTTTTTGCATATGAATATTTATATTTTTTTTTTCATACGTGTTGCAATTCTTGATATGTAAAAGTGAATTCAATACATATTATGTATGACATTCGCTAAAACAAATGTGGCAAAGATATTCTTGATTATACGTTATTATTCTTATCCGAACTTACTTAGAAAGTGATTAATTTTTTATCATTCGGTCTGTCAACTAAATTCTTTATTATTTATGTATATATATATATCTACAACTAAATTCTAATTTATATTGTTAATAAACTATATTTATTCATTTATGGAAAATTCAAGGTACAAGAATGTATATAATATACAAATATTATATATTGAATATAAAAAAAATAATATAAAATATTCAAAGAGTATCGACTATAATACTAATCTAGAAGAAACAATTTTCTATTTAGGTTCTATTTCTTTAATATGTCCATGAAAATTTAAAAATGCATAAAAATCTGCAGTCTAATTATTAGCAACATGATTGAACTAACATATTTCAGCTAACAAAAGTAAATAATAATTATTTATAGTGACATCAAAATATTCTATGCGCAATAGAGTTAATTCGTATACTTTGTATGTCTTAGTTTGTATGTTTTATTCACAATATACAGGATGACTTGAATTTTAATGTCCGAGCTTTGTCAGCATATATTCTGCAGGAAAAATATAAAACAAAAATATCGCGTGGCAAAAAATTCACGAGTAAAATTGAAAAGTTGTGACAAAATTCATAAATTTATTAAAAGGTGTAACAAAAATACGAAACGTGTGTATATTTCGTGTCACTCTTCTTTGTCAATGCAAAATTGATATCAAAACACTACTGAATTTACTATCGACTGAATTTCGACAGTAGAATATCGATTTGCTTTGATTCTTGCCAATCAATTCATCTTGTGTAAATTTTTGCTTTTAAAGGTAATTAATCTTTCCCATAACTAGAGACTTAAAGATATAAAATCTAAATCATTGTTGAAATTATATTTGTCACATTTCATATTTTTTTTTACAACTTTTTAATGAAACATTTGACTTTTTGTTACATGATATTTTAGTTTCCCTTTGGCAGAGTTTGAACACTAAAATTCGGAACACGCAGTGGAAAGAGGAAGTGCTACGGTACATTTTTTATATTAAATAAATAATTCAAATAAAAAATTGCGAGAATGAAAAGCTGAAAAACGTATCAACTGTTTAATTTACTTGACTGCATCCTTGATCGACCCTGTTGTTCATCTAACATCTAACCTATTCAAAAAGCTTTTATTTCTCAGCTTTCCGCTCGAATTGGCAATTCCTGTGACACTTAAGAAATTCCTCGCTCGTTTAAACAAATCGTTCGATGTTCAACCGGGACGTTGAAATTTCATTGAAGTCAGACAACAATAAGCCGAAAGCATCAATTAACGTGGCTTCATCGAACTCTCTACCGACAAGAGGTGCCAAGTTGGTACACAAAGATGCAAACAAGCGTGTACACAGAACGAGAGGGTAAATCACGCTTGGCGAAAGCTGCGAGAAAGGGAGATCGAAGCAGACAGAGAGAGAGAGAGAGAGAAATGTGCGATTCGCACGTTCGAAAGCTTCATTTGAATTGATTTGAAATCAAGAAGAACACCTCGGCTTCTGGCAGGATATTCCGGTGATTGACTGCGACAAAGGTGCATCGATTTGCACTAATCATCGACGCGGTAATTGCCGTGAACAAGATCGCGAGTCATCGAAGAGCCATTGCTCATCGGAGATCGAAACCGATCGATCGTCAATCGGGCGTTAATCAAATGGAATAAACGTGCGTGGATGAAAGCACTCGTCTGTATTGTACCGTGCGCCGCCTACACTCTTCGCCCAAGAATCAAGAGTCCTTCCAGTTTCTCGCCGAGTTCTTTGGAGTTACGAGTGATTCTTAAGATAATGAACGTACTCAAGAGGTGAAGAATTGTCAAAATCAGATTACTTAAGTTGTCTCATGCCGTCCACCATATTTGACGTTCATTCGCAACGGAATTTGAGAATAAGATCCGTCTTAAAATATGAATGTATATGAAAGTTTTTTTTTTATTCGCAATTTTAGCAAATTTATAGAGTAATATCATCCTGTTGGTTGAAATTAGAAGCAAATGAATGTGAATGATTCAAGGTGAACTATTTAACAATTTATTTA